GTGCGCTCAAGCCTGAGTTTTTAATCATGTGACTCTAAAGTGGTCTGTAGGAGTGAGAGAAATAATAATGCATCCAGTTCCAGGAGCGTAACCTCCCAGCATGAAGTGTGTCTGTATACCGACTACGATCTGTAGTGCTCGGTATACACTTAATCGACACTTTATTAGGTTCCGTAATAAATCCATATCTTCATGAAAGTTATAATGTTCAGTGTACATTTATATCAGTGAGGGTAGACTATGTAACAGCATATATCGGCATCAGATTTCCAGGATAAACAATGAGTTGGTCCATTGAGGTCTTGCTCTCTCCCTGGGCTCATTAAACCTATTACGCTCTAACTATGAATAAACTTTGCCCACCATCGTGTGAATATTAATTTCACTTTGGTCTACACTTCACAGAATAGGAAATTACATCACATGTTATTTAATAAAGAGTGCCCTAGAAACCCTATTTCCCATTAGGTTTATTAATTATCGCACTGTGATTTGACACAATTATCTTCTTATTTAGAAAAGGTTCATAAGTAACATCAACTTGAGGTGTAAAAATAACACTGCACATGATCCAGTTTTTGGCATTTAAAGGAAACGTGACTCCTTAAAACATGATATGAATTTTGTTTAGCATTTTTGAAATTCAATCAGCCAAATAAAATAAAAAAACACCAATTCTGCAATTTTTGCTGCAGGTCATTAAGAATGGTATATTAGTTTCATTTTGAGACCTTTTGTTTTCCTGAGAAGTATTATCATATTATTGAAGAATTTCTATAAGGTGATTGAGGTTTTCCTACAATGTAAATAAGGAGCATTTACAATGAATAACAAATTATTGTAAAAAATAAATAAATTAAATAAAATTAAAATTTTGGATCGAAAATTCTGATGCAGCACAAGTTTAAATAGTAAATTCTGGCAATCTGAAAGGCAGATAAAAAGATAAAACCAAGACAAAAGTCTTCTGTAGATTATATGAATTATTGGCTTGAAGACTGGAATGCATCCGCAAATCTCAGTTGGCACAAACCTGCATGCAAATATGGCAATTGTCTATGATTTTACATTGAAAACGGGTAAAAATACTGCACATTTCAAAAAACACATTCCCGCCTGTGTAAACATAGAGAAATACACAAGCTAGCTCCCACATGAACATCATTAGTTACATCGGCTAGCTTTTAAATCCTTACTATCATAAATCTACATTCTCAGAGAGACCAAAATGTCGATACAAAACAAAAGAATAAAAAAAAAGAATATTCATTGAATATATTCAAGCATAAGAAAGAACATAGTCAGAATGTCATAAAATATTATAAAAAATAACTCCTTATAATGCCTGAAAGATGAGAATCTAAATGGGCTCACAGTGTCATTCTCAATGTGAGCCCATTTAAAGACACACAATGTATTTTAGCAGTCAGACATTGGCACATATGTAGGTAAAAAGCCAGGCTGGAAACACACTGTTTCGCAATAGATGTCTGAAAACACACATTCACTTTTCTCCTCCTTAAACTAATCCTAAAAACACATCAACATCACTAAAAGTATCATTACTTTGCTACTGTATCTATTAATCTTAATTGGTTTGACATGTACAATATCAAAAAGTATCTTGTTACAAATATAACTTAAAGATTGCAAACAGATCTTGACATCATGCAAACTGGAAACATTTTGAGCCAACAGATGACGGCGCTCGTTCGGCAGGTAGGAGTTGAAGTCAGAAAGTAGTTTGGTTCAGACACATCCTGAGGTGGAAGATCATTTTGGTCCACTTCAAATGAGAACTTATCTTACATTCAACTAAGTCACGTTTAGAAAAAATAATTAAAGAAGACATCCAAGCAGTCCATAAGCTCTTTGTGGGTTAGACACCTGATGACGTTGTGTCCATTGAGACAATATCTTACTTTCCCTTGAGACGTAAAGAGCTCCTCCCCTCTCAGGATGGTTTCATTCTCAGTAAATGTTCTCATTCCAAGAAAAGGTAAGGTCATTGAGAACTTTCCACACAGAAAAACCTGCCTCCTGATTTGCGTAATGCAGAATCTGTACACTTTCCCCTTTAGCACTGTGATACAAAACCTTTGCTTCCAGGATGGACAACAAATTAGAGGTCTGACTTTCTGATTTCAGGCAAAGTTATTTGAGATACTTTCTTCTGCTTTGCTAATACAATCTGCATCCGCCTGGGTCTCAGAATATGTAAGATAAGTCATTTGTCATTAACAAAAACAACACATACAGAAAGCCAACAGCAATAATATAAGCAATAAAAACAAATCACGGTTTCTGTGTTTATGATAATAGATTATGTAAAATTGAAACAAAAAAATGAATACAACTACCTTTAGTGTTCTAATACCTTACTTAAAAAAATGCCATTTTGAGATTCAATATATGAGTCATTTTTGGCATAATCCAAAGAAACACTAAACATAAATATTTGGTACATTTCCCTTACTTATGATTGATAGCCATTTTATAATTCAATACAAATGTAATTGGCAATTTTACAGTTTGTTTTCTCAGCTTATCAGCATTTCTTTGGAATTTGTTTAAAACTGAGATAGAAAGCTGTGTCATTTGTAAAATGCCCATATTTCAGTTTGTCAAGGTTTCTCAAACTCTCTTGGAGACAAAAGATGAAGCACTGACATTGTTCAGCTTAATTTCAACATTTAGAATTTTCAGTCTTGCCACTGGTATTTTTTTTCTGAGTCCGCTCAATGGTGGCATGTGTGGGTGCATTCAATCCAATGTGAAAAAAAAAACAGCTTAAACATTCAGAATATCCACATGTAGAAAGGCATCCAAGAGTTTGGTCCAGTCTGAAGTTTTGTCTTTTGGTGTTTGAAATACTCCAAATAGAGGGATAAGCAGGGTGGAAAAAGGAGTACGGAGAGCAGGTTTAGAGAGAGGAGGAGCTCTGGCTGTAGTGTTTCAGCAGCAGCTGGTCATATTCAGCCTCAGAGGCTGGGGACATGGAGGGGGGTGAGCTGCCGTCGGAGCTCAGAGATGAGTCTCTAAACGGGGAGGGAGGCGTCAAAGCCACCAGCTCCTCCATATCCTTGGCTCGCCTGCTACCCACACAAGTCCCAGCCAGGTGCTCATAAATCTTACCTGCTGGCCGATTCTCGCAGAAATTGGAGACGGCCGCCACCTCAGCGTATGTGGTGACAGTGGAAGGGGCCTGTCTGCTCCTGGTCGGGAGGTACTGTGGTGGGCAGGGGGTGGCTTCTGTGGCCGCGGGTAAAGGAGTAGTGGAGGTGGGACTGACAGTGACTCCCCCTGGCAGCATCATGGTGTTCAGCTCACTGATGTTGGCAGTGAAACGGTTAACCACACAACTGATTTGGTCCATGATAGTGGTGCCCTGAGGTTGGCTGCCAATCATCCCTATGCCAATGTCACCCACACCGATGACGCTAATGTCCCCACCATCCACAATACCAACACCCTGGCTGTTGTCCCCACCTCTTCTTCTGACCCCAGCAGGGTGCTCAGGTACGTAGGTGGGTAAAGCTTGTGCCTCTTCTCCTTTCTCTCCTCCCTGTAAACCCCTTGCCTTTGCTGCATGCTCGCCGATGGCGGGCAGAGGTGACTGAGACGGAGAGCAGGTGAAGGGCTCAGACAGCTGTGGCTCTTCATACTGCTCTTTGACAGCAGTGTCTGTCGGTACATCTCCCTCTTTGGAGAAGGGCTTAATGATGGCTGTCTGGTTCACCTCGACTGCTTCCTTTTTTTTGACGTGGAATGACATCCTCTTCCACAGGTTTGGTCTGTAGCTGCGCTCATTCTGTGCCCATGTCACTGATTTCCCATTGGAACTGTAAAACGAATATGAATGACAAGGACATAAAATGTGTCTATGTTGGTTGAAAAGAGCTAATACATATGACAGATGCACTGTGTAATACTGTGTAGTTGTGGATGTCTTCTATACAACAATATCTTATGTATAAACTGTTCAATACAATTATACCAGGATAAGATTGAGAAAAGATCCTCTCCCATCTATACTGAGGTTCATGCTCTACTTCTTCATGTCAGTATTTCTATCAAGCCCCATCTTTTGCTTTCTGCGTAATTTTCTTTCCCTCCATTTTCTTTTATCTTCCCTAGAAAGAGAAATCCTTAAAGGCAGTGGGTCTTCAGGGAGTACTTAACCCAAATGAGGTAGCCTTTTTCTCAGCTCAGGGAGCAGTTTTCCTTGACATATCCAGCCTGTTGTGGTGGATTCAGCTCTGATTTACCAGTTTAGGAAGGAACAGCGATAGTTGTGTTCTTGGAAATATATCTGCAGAGTTTTTAATCTCTATTCACGTAATGGACAGAAACAATTAAAAGTGGCTGTAAGGAGAGCAGTTCAGATTGCCTAATAATAAGCCAAGAAGGTAGTTTCTCTGCAGTTAGATGGTACCATGCCTGCCAAATCCCTACCTACCACCAGCTCCCCCCTCTTTGCCCCTCTGGCAGGACTTTACTCTTTTAACCTAATCCTTACCTAATGTAAAATGCTGAGTGATCATTTTTATAGTGTGATTATTAACCTGATCTGACAAAAATCAGCAAAAAAGGAGGCCAAATTGTTGTTATATATACAGTATGCCAAAATATGAAGTATATTCCAAAGTAATTATGTAATATATGCAATAGGTCATCCAATTGGATGGAGTGCATGCAGTAAAATCTAATAAGATATGGTCTTCTTAGGGTTTTGACTCATTCTTCTGCCACATTTTTATATGTCAAAAAAGAAGCTGACATTATGATACCTTAAGTATTTTCTCTTATTTTAAATGCTGGGGACATGCATACAGGAGAAAACAAAATGATGTATATGTGTACTTTTAGGAATTGTTTTTCCTCCTATTTCCTTGTTTTTCCTAGCTTTATGCAGGTGTTTTAGATACTTAGGCGTTAATTTATTCATAGCTTAATACCCACTTAGTTCCCCTCATATACCTGATGTTGTCCTGCGCAGACCCGCGACGTCGGAAGAAGTTGGCCATGCTGCTGGAGGATTTGCCAGACTTGGCAGCTTTCTTGGCATCACCCACATGCATGCGCACCACTGTGGATGTTGTGAAAGCACTCCGGACATTTTTCTCAGGCTTGGCAAGCATGATGTACACCTGACAATGAAAATAAACAACAAATAAGTATTAACATAAAGATGCAGGGATTCAAAATTGATACAAAAATAGTTAGAACATTCTTGTGAGTTTGAGTTATTCATTGTAACTCTGTGTGAGAATATGTGTTTCTACTTCTTACCTTTGGGACAAACATGCAGCAGAGAGCCACTGTGGCACTGAGGCTGACACTAAAGCACATGGTAATGATCTTGTAGTTGGAGCCAAAGTAAATAGGAACAAAGGCCAGCCAGATGATACAGGTTGTGTACATGGTAAAGGCAATATACTTGGCCTCATTAAAATTTGCTGGAACATTACGAGTCTGGAGGAGAAAAGGAAGAATATAATCTTTAATGGAGTGCAGGTTGAAGTAGAAAGTCCAGGATACAAGGGAAAGAAAATTAGAAAAGGTCTGAAAAATATACAGTTTAAGTACAATGTATGCTGAAGTACCTTGAAGGCGTAGAAGGTGCAACTGAGAATGAGCAGGCCATTGTAACCCAGAGGTGCCACCACCCCCAGAGTGGTCAGATTGCAGATCAAGTGTACCTCACGGATACTGGGGTAGTCATAGATCACCTAAGAGGAGAGAAATGGAGAGGTCGCTCTACTTATATAAATTAATGTAAATTAACATCCCCCATAATGTATGTAAAACACATGCACATACACACACAAACCTGTGGTGGCTCTATGATAAGAAGTGCCACAATAATCCCCAGCTGCAGCAGTATGAGTAGGAAGGCGATGACCAATTGTGCGCAGGCGGACATAAAGCGCGGTTTCTTGGTGCAGATCTTCTTCTTGCTGCCTGCCAAGATCCGTGCTATACGGTTGGTCTGGATCGAAAATAGATCAAATGGTTATGCAGGCTTCACTTACATCGATAATACCGCTCGCACTGATTCATAACAATAATCCCCTTTTCAGCCCACACACAGATCCTCAACTTCTACCATAACTCCCTTACAATTGGCCATCATCCAATCTCTGGAGGTAGCTCTTTTACACCTGCCCTTATCCTTACATGCCCTTCTATTTATGTTAAAAACCTCAAAAACATTGGACTATGATAGTAGAGAAGTTGTCTGATCACATGTGGTTGTAAAAAGGCGAAATTAGAAAGGTATCATTAAATAAAAAATATCCTTGCTATGTCAGTGTTAAAGTATTTTCAGTGAATCATAATCATTTAAATAATTTAGTCTAATATGCAACACATCTAGCAGGCTGACTCGCGTTAACCGCTGTAATGTCTATATGGCTGTCAGTTTGCAACTTCATCTGCAGTTCTCTCCTCTGCTAAAGGTTCCAACTCATATACTGCATATTGTAAGTGCACCTCCTCTGTAAGTGTGTGTGTGTCGAAATAAGTGAGTTTTCTTCAACAGCTACTTTCAGTGTCTTTCGTTTTGCAGTTTTGCTCTGCTGACTTCTGAAGTGCAGAAGTGCATCTCGCTCCCAACATCCTGTTTCACATGGAAGAAACTAAGAATTTAAAAACTCAAAGCCATTTAATCAGACGTATAATGGGAGGGTGTAAAGATGTCTTTTAATACCTTAGTGACATTGTAGAGTTTAATAGAAAAATCAAATATCAAATGAAGCTGAGATGGAGCCATGGGGTTTTAACCCACAAAGCTGCACAGGTAAAGTAAAACATGTACACTGAACCGTACTGTAATGTACTATACTGTGTATATTTGGTCCTCTACCTCATGATAACAAAACAGACAAGAAAGTACCTTGGTGACCAGGGCAGAGTAGCTCATGGCAGGGGACAGGCCGATGCCCAGCCGCTGGAGGTAGCAGTAGACTATGTGGGGCTTGGCGATAAGGCTGAAGGTGCACAGGTAGCCCAGACATATTCCAGCCAGGATGATGTAGCAGAGTTCGCGACTTGATGATTTGACCACAGGGGTGTCCCAAAATCTACAAAAGGATCAAATTATATCTGGGTTCACAAAATTAGAAAACGACAGCTGGAGCACTAAAGGGATTGAAAATCAACGTATAAGCCACAAGCTCACTGGTTTCAATGAGGACTGCTTACAATTGCAAACAAGCAGCATGCAAGTAATATTATTTTTTTATATTTGTATGATTATACTGTATTTCTATATTTTTCTATTTAAATATATTTTGAATTCACTGTAAATTGACCATTTTCTGCAACACACACACTAAAAATCACAGTATTAAAAAATGAACCAGTTTGAGTCAATAAGCAATTCAACTCATACCAATGGGTTGTTTTGGCCCAGAATATGTGGTATTTAATTTTTTTTAAATATGGTTATTTTGACCCCAACACGCTCAAATTTTACCTAAATACTTCACCAATTTATTGTTAGCTACAGGAAATGATTCAAAATTGCAGGAGATACACATAATAGCAAGATTCAGTAACAAAAAGTGACAGTGAGTTTAAAAAGAGCTAGATAAAATTTGACTTTTGATAAAGAGGCCAACAGTAATAATAAAAAATAACAATCCCCGTCTTAGATTGTTTTCTACCCATAGATACTGGGGAAAATGTTGCCTATAGGGTTGGTGTATATATAATCGCTCTGTCGACCCAAATTGTGTCAGTTTTGACCCACTGATTTTAACTGTGTATGTCCACAACCAGTAAAGTTGTAGACTTTAATTACTTGATAAAGACAGAAGTAACAAAAAGTGTAGCCATGAGGCCCAGGCAGGCGAACACCACTGCAGCGATGGGCTCTGGATCCCCCCAACGCACATACTGCACCGGGATTCGCTCACAACCTGAGGGATAAAGAGAGATCATGGGGAGTGAGAAAACAAGACACAGAAAAGTTCAAGCAAGATGAATTTGTCTGCTAGAGTGATAGTGAAAGGATGTGCCTTTGTGTGTTTGCATATGACAGCACCATAGCTTGATGTGGATGCAGCAAAACAACAGTTTAGTTGCTATGTGTAAAATCTCCAGTCTATGATACAGTGGGATCATGAGAAACGAGGCAAATTGGTTGTGAAACATTAAAGGATCAGAGATACAACAGAACTAACAGGATAAACATGCTGCTTTTCTCCTTACACATAAAAAATGCTTTGTGTTTTTTCAAACTACAGAGGAACAGAAATATTGTGGGAGACATTAAATGTTTATAAAAGGAAAAGGGTTTCAAACTGTTTTTACAGACTTGGGAGTTAAGAAATCTGGCTTCAGCCAAATCCTGTATTCTGGCAAGGATTTAAAGTCTCTGGATGTGTGTGCAGTACATAAGTGTATGTGTTCAGACTGTTTGTCTATGGTGTGTGTGTGTGTGTGTGTGTGTGGTACCTAAGATGTAAGGGGATTTTGGGTGCACCGTGAGTGTGTGACCCAGATTCAAGGCTGCTTTGGCCTAACTGGGAAATCTTATATTTGTAAAGTAACAGGACATAAATATAGTGTGTTTACCAGTGAGGTCATCTGTGGGCCAGGAGCCAAGGACACAGGCTCGACAAGTGTACTCATCAAACACAAACTCATTGTCCTTGCAGGGAGTGCAAGTCCAACAGCAGCTCACCTCTCCTTTACGGATAACCTGGAGACGCACACACAAAGACACACACACACACCACTATGAAAGGGTGGAAAGGTCTCAATGCTCCAATGGCACTTTTCTGTAGCTAATCTTACACTCTGATGGACCTGTAGGGCAGGGAAATGATGATGTCTTCGTCGGGGGAACAAAAGAAGAAAAAAAAGGAACATTTATTGAATATATTTGAGCCTCATTATTTTAAAAAGGTTCTCTTTCTCTTCAATGTGGAAATACATTAGAATTAAGCTGAAGAGACTGGATGCATGTTGGAGGGATGAAGTTCTTGGTCTAAATCTCAGTTTTTGTAATTTTTTGACTGGGGTTCCCCTGGGTGCTCCAGTTTCCTCTCACAGTCTGAGGACATGCAGGTCAGGAGATCTGGAAACTGTACGTTGCCCTTGAGGGTGAATATTTGCCGTCTGCATGTTAGACCTGTGGTGGTAACCTGGCACAGGCTTCATGAATGGATTAAAAAGAATAGAGGTGGGGTGAGCTGAAATAGGAACTGAGAGAATGTGCGAGGTATTTCTTTTTCTTTTTTAATAAATGCATTGCTAATATGATAGGAAGTAAGGAAGGATTTCTATCTGTTGTCAAGGTCAGCACAGACCACAAAGTCAGAGCTAGAGACCTTTAAAGCAAGGAAGTATGAACATGCAGATCTCCTAAAAAACCTTATGCATGAGACTGGTAGTTTTGAATTCCCTACAAGCTGGCATATTAAAGCGAGTCAGTGTAGAGTGTGTAGGAAGAATTTAATGTTCGAGACTTTTGGGATGATAAAGAGGAGGCAGACTGCAGTGTTCTCCATGATTTGGATGGGCTGCAGGGAGTTACAGAAACCCAGATGGGACATGATTAAAGCTTGAACAAAAAGCCTTGCTGAGTCCCTGGTGGGGTACTTGAGGATCTCATTGGACTGATTTTTTAGATTCCAAACCTGTGGCACCAAGTCAAGGCTGCTGTGTGGGTCTTGTTTAACAGTTTTCTTCAGTAAAACTATAATATGGTCTGTGGTCTAAGGTGACGCATGAATGTATGAAATCATGTATTTTGGTTGGAAAACAGAAACAGCTGCCAATATTTGCAAAACTGAATGATGGTGATGTAGATTATGAATTTAAATCATTCATAGCCTGAGTAGATTGATATCTGTTCTATTTCATGCATGCAAATAAAAGGGTATGTACAGTTACCACATCTATTGTTACTTTAATAATAAAAAAGTTAACATTTTAAGAAATTCAACATAGCTTATTGATATTGAAATCTATGTCAGCAGTGTAAAACTTGGAGTGGTGCGTACCTTAATCTGTGCCTTCTGGCAGGGCTCAGAGCAGACTGACTGGATGACGTCACTGTTGTTACTCCAGATTTCCTCATCGTTCATCTTTAGGCCACCCTGATCCCAGCTTCCTACATGGCTGTAAGCATACTCATCTTCCCCTATGCGCTTGAAGTTCATGATTTCATACCTGAGGTGAAGCAGCGTAGCCATACATTTAACATTTCTTTATACTTCCTACTTTCCCTCCTTCATTCCTTTATTCCTTCCCCATCATTATTATCCTCACCTGCCAGGTGAGTCTCCATTCTGGTCAAAGAGGATTATCTCCCCTGATACACCAGTAAAGTTGGTTTTCATCAGGAATTCCAGCAGCTTGCGGCCATCAATGGGCCGCATGTTCTCACAAAGACCCTGTCACCAAGGGAAAAGGCAAATACTGTTAGGCCCATTGTGAAAGCATACAACTGCGCCCACTGTTCATTATCGTACCTTATATCCTGGACAGAGGGCTTCCTGCATGGCATGCAGGCCATAAGCCATTGAATAGATGGCATTTATGACAAAGCCCATCTTGGTGTCTTGGGCATACTGATGGCGCAGAGACTCTCTCCCTGTGGAGAACAGAGACCTGCTCATAAGGAGAAATCCAATCACTGTAATCTAAACTGAGGGTAAAAACAGGATGTGAATATAGACTAGATCACTATTGGAAAGTGTGTGAAACATGATCTTTGTGTGGTACTAACAGGTGCAGGTGCGGTTGTACATGCTGCTCTCCTGCGGATGACCCCTCAACCTGCACTGGAAGCGATGCTGCCAGAACTCAGGGAACCAGGGGTTCCTCAGGTTTGCATCAGGCTTCAGGTTCAGGTAATAATCGTCGAACCAGGTCACATACGCTGACTTTAGCTTTATAGTGATTCCTCCAGCTGCCTCCTTTTCATAGCCATCGGTCACATCATACCTGTCTGCCCAGCCATCACTGGACAGGAGGAATAAAATGAAAGAGACAGAGGTACAGCAGGGTGTTAGTAAAAGTAACAAATGTCCCAATAAGACTTTGTATTTTACACATTTTCTTCTTTTTTGTTTTATTATTGTTTTTTTTCCTAGAAACTCGGAAATCTAGCATAGATGGAGGTGATGGGTGGAAACATCCCTAGGATTATGAGGTCAGTGACAAAAAATAGCTTTCAGCCCTTAGCTAACACTGAGTTTATGCACTCTGGTACTTCACTTAGCCTTGGACCTGGTTCACACTTACGTCCATCCAATGAAACTGGTCTTACCAACAGAAAGATAACAAGGTCGTTGACATCTTAAAATAGCACAGCTCAGCAGTCCAGTAAGCAAATGTTATAGTAACATTTTACAGCTCATATTAAAAATATACTTTGAGGAAAATTATTAAAGAAATTGGGGTTTTAACTTATTACAGAATCAGGTTACAACCGATTACTGTACTTACATTGTAATGGTTTTATAAAGTCCATGATTGCAGTTTTAATGTGGCCTGCTGTAAAAACTGTACTTAGTGCTTATGACTATATTTTCTATCACTGTTTCACAGATTGAAGGAGACAGGTGGTGCCTCGCAAAATGAACCTAATGACTGCTCTGCAGCAAGTTACAGTAGAATAAAATATTTATCATGATGACTCAGAAGACTCAGAACACAAGACTCACTGGATGATTAAAATAGTATTTGCTCACATATTCAAGTTTCAGAATTGTGCAGTGAATTTTTGTGATTATGTTCACTTGCAAAGATAACTTGTAATAAACCTTGAGGGATCAAAGGTTGATGGTGCCGGGAGGACTTGGCTAGCTAGGAGTCTGTTATGTCTTTTCTTTTCATCATGGCGTTTTGTGTTGAATGCATTGTTATTACTTCCATAACTTTGTCTGAAAAGTTTGTATCTGACTGCTGATTAATTAGATCTCTGTAGGCTCATTATCCGTGAAGTCCATTGAGACACACTAAATGAAGAGAATATTGATTTACTTGACATTAACAACTTTTGGGGTAAATATATCATTGCAGAAACAAACACTGAAACATGCTGTTTTTGTGAACCAATCTGTCAATGTATTTTTAATTCTGACAAAGTCAAAGCATATATTGATTTGTAACTTGTATGTCATACATGAACTATTAATTATTCATTTAATTTTAAGGCAGCTTGGTACACCACCTTCTGACTAGGATACCTGATGTTCAATAAACATTAAACACCACTCAAACACCATCAGACTGTAGTGTCTGAAAGCACTTCTGAGCCTCTATTTTTTCAAAAACCTTGTGGGCTTAGACTCAATAAGCTAGTTCATTGGTGAGCTCTTTGAAACGTTTCTACTCCATCTATTATTATCTTTCCCTCTGGACACTTGTCTACAATCAACAAAGACAGAAGGTTGATTACACCTCCACACATGTGCATACATGTAAACACGCACACCTTACTGACACAAAGAAATGCACTCTTCTCTTCCTAACTGACAAAAAAAGCAAAGATAAGTCATTTTTGAAAACTTTGCTAACCGAGCTGGAGTTACACAACAGTTGTGTGGGTGTTTTTTTTTTTATGATGCTTGGTTCTCTGGGTGAGGTAGGAGATCATTTCATAACACATCCTTAGAGAAGCGAGCACAGAAATTGTATACTGGCATAAAAAAGACAGGATGGATATGAAAAGCATGGAGGGCTTTGACTCTGGATAGTTTGAATCACTCTTGAACGAGAGCTCTGAAACCCACACATCGACCTGGGAGGGCAATATGCTGTATGCAGCGTGTTGCTACACCACCTACAAGCCTGAAGACACACACAAGTGTGCGCGTACACACACGTCGTGCTCTTTTCTCATACAACACAATACTGGTCAACTTTCGAGCCAGATCTTTTCTGAGTGAACACTTTATAACTCTGTAATGGTATGAACTTGAGGCTGGGAAGGTGTCCATTTCTAAAATGAAACTAAACAAGACATGAAAAGAAAAAAAAAAAGTGAGACATTGTTGGTTGGTGTGTTTTCTGGTTTAGTTAGGAGCTCCAGGAGCACAAATTCGCAATATTTGCAGCTGGAAAGCCAGTGGGGGAATGTGCTGCTTTCCCAGCACTAGCAACTCCAAGTGGTTGGCTGGAGGGACTGCCTTACTGAATGTGTCCTCTGATAAACAGCACCTCCTAAGGCCAAGGGTAGCAGGTAGCAGTAACAAGGATGGAGGGAAGTTGGGAGGTAAAAGGACACAAAATCAAACTAAACTAACCGAATGTAACTAAACATAAACTGTGACATAATTATTTGGAATAAAATTTGCAAATAATGATGGACGGACAAGAGTAACATAAAACACTGCCACCCCAGTCCTTCTATCCAACTTCTCCTGCAGACCTTCTCTGCTTTATAGACTCAATTCCTCAAAACTCTGTAAAAAAAAACTGTAATGCATGTATCTAATTAAAATATTTTATTTCTACTTTGACATGAAATACCTAGCTGATAATGTGTGAAAACAGCATTTGAATTAGTTGTGCTAAGGTTTTACAGTGCAAGGGGGTTGTGTTGTAATAAACTAGGTCTAACGAGAGGCACTGAATGTATAACAAAATGACCAGCTAGCTGTACTAAGGCACAGTGGTGATTTTAAGGAACATGCTAACGTGCTTACAATGACAATGTTCATCATCTTAGTTTAGCATATTAGCATGCTAACATTTGCCAATTAGCACTAAACCAAAAGCAGAGCTGAGGCTTATGGGAATTAGTTTTGCAGGCATTTCAACAAATATTTTAGGTGTTAAGTACATGTACGAACAAATCTTTAACAAAAAAAAACTGAATCATTATTGTCACTGAACAAATCCATAGATTTTAGCAGTGGAGCTCCCTTCACTGGTGACTGATGCATTTAGTCAGCTAAACTGTAAGTATGGTAGGCTACTTACTAAAAGCCTATTAGTAGACTGCCAAAGCCCAGAAATATTATAATGGGATCATAATGTGATAACTGTCGTTAATAATTGGCTGCTGAGGCATTAACTTTATGTGCAGTCTAGTAGGCCTATAGGCTAGTTTTGTACTGAACTGAAAGCGAGAGCCCGACAGTCTGAATCAGCGCTGAACAACACTGCTGTTTTCTTATTGTCGTATGCATTGAAGTGCCGGAGGTGATAGACTGACAGTTGGATACAACTCTTCAAAATGGGCTTAAGCTTTGCTGGCAACAAAACAAAACAAATATACCAAAAACACATTATCTGCTCCTTCAGTCTCCCTCTTTCTATAAATGGAACCTAAGCATGCACTGCACACAAACCTGGTGACAAATCCTCCAGGCTGGCATGAACAGGCTGGTTTGTGCAAGTAACTAACTAGAATAACAAGAAAGGTGATGAAGTCAACAAATAAATGTAAAAAAACATGCTGCTGAAGAAGGACAGAACTCTTAATAGGACACTACTCGTGCATGCTCATGTAATCGCATTAACGCTTTAAGAGAGATAAAAATGTGCCACCTCAAAAATATATCTAATCTCTAATTACCTTCAAAACAGAATAGCAAAGAGGAACATTTTAACAAATTCCCTATAATCTTTCAAACTAAGCAGGCGACAATGCAACAGCTGTCTGGAAGCACTGTGTGGTAATATAGAGTATAGAGCGTGGTGTTTTGCAATATGTAGTTCAAGGTTATTTTATGTTTCCTGCTGTCAGATTTGAGCGACAGCCTACATATGTGGCTCCTAATGAGGAAAGGCATTTATAGAACACCAGGGACGAGAGTGAGCCAGAGAGCTAAACCTTAAAATAAAACATGTTATTCTCGGAGAGAGTGAAACCTTCTGCTAAATCAACCCCCTCTTTCCCGCTTATTTTATTTTGTATTTTTAATTGCATACTTTTTATGTGTGATCTTCCACAATGGATGGATTAGGATGCGGCATATTTAGTCATATCGGAAAACCATCATTGCTTTTTCTAGTTGTCTGTTGAGGACGCAACCAGCTATAACTCATTTTCTTCTTTCTTATTGTTTACTGTTGTGACAGTTACGATAATATAATAATTATTATATTGATTTATAATTAATTTACTGTATTTCTCTATCCACTGATTGTAGGAATTGAGTGCTGTTCAAAGAAATTTCTGCAGGGTGAATATACTTTCCCATTTGAATGCTGGGTTTTCTAGCTCAAGAATGGTCTTACCAACAACGCCCTGCTGCTCCAATAAAACATTAATTTGCAATGGTAAATATAAACAGAGCAGGCTGGCTTTCTCAGTAATAGCAACAAGTGCATCGATACAGAATAAATGTAAAGTATCAAGTACATCTAATTTGAAGATAAACAAAAATCAGCATTTTGAAAGTCTCATAAAAGTGTGGGGGGCAATGTCTCAAATACCTTGAGTTTCCTAGAACACCATGAAGTTGATGGATGCTGTGATGATGATGATGATGATGATGATGATGATGATGATGATGAGAGGACAGAGACGGCCCCAATGACAACAAACAAATCTTTTTCAGATGATGCTGGACATCTGTCGAATGTCTGGATTGGAAATTAATGGACAACACTAAAAACCTAAAGCATTTCACTGATTATTTTTTTATCCTCTAATAAAAGTGAAAAGTCAATAAGTAAGTAATTCCACCTTCCACAATCTGCCACTCACCTTCCAACCAGCAGAAACTCTCCCACCAAACGCAGTCGTCTCATGGCCATCAGTATGCCTCGGACCGTCATGCCCTCACAAAAGCAGGCCACCACCCTGGCCTTGGGCAGGTGGCCTCTTAGCTTCTGCAATAATTTATCAAAGTTTTGTTCCCCTGCGTTGCTGTATATTTTATCGGAGTGGGCGATGCAGATCCCCTCCTTTGCTGCCATGTCTTTAAATGCCTCCATACCACTCTCACCATAATTGCCTATGGAGGGGAAAACACGGACGGAATGGTGTTTATATACACACAATACTGCACACACAAAACATGGGGTTTATTACCTAATTAAAGCTAAGAAACCCAACAGATCAGACTGTGACACAGTTCTTCAGCTCACGAGAAGGAGGAATAAGCTGCAGAAAAATAGTGAACATGGCATCCAAAATTGTAGGGAAGCCACTAAAGCAGTATGTATGATGAACTCTTAAGAAGTAAAGCTGACTGTACAGTATACTGTACAGTAAATCTGAGCTTTTACCTTGTTTTTTATGACGTCTGATGGTGAAACTGAAGACAAATCTCCACATTGTGGACAATAAAGTTTTCGTATTTGTATACTAGCAGTTTAGATGTGTAGACAAATACACTGGTGTAATGCCAGCACAACACTTGAGAATCTTGTAATTTTGTCCCCATTCTGGGAACTGTCAGGGGTTACACATCCCTGTTTTCGCTGTAAATGAGGTCACCCACTTTCTCTACTCTCACTCTAGGCATGACACTGTTCGAGGCATCCTCATTACTACGTGTGAGATTTACTCCCCCGTATGTAGCATGCTTAAACTGTAACTGTTTCACCTCTGTTCAGTTTTCTGTTAATGTCACTGATGATGCTGCCGTTCCTGTTTGCATTATAATTATTGTATTTTCTTCTTTCGTATTTCTTTCCTCCTGTTCTAACTCTCCAAGAGGGTGTTTTTTTCTTCTACGTAGCCAACATCATAAATAAGAATTATTTTGTTGGCAAAATGTAGTGGAAAGTAGGCTGAGCAGTAGGCTAGTGTCTTATAACCACAACCATAACCTCTGGGGCTACAGTAAATATGGATCCTGTGCTTCTTTCTTTCTTTAGTTTTTTTAGTCAATTTTGTGCACTTTGGAGCTGTTGATATCATTTACTGGGTCATTAATCTTGTCATTAGTTTATGCAAATGTAATGCAGAGTATCAGGCAAGGTACACCTGCATTTGACAGATAGGGTATTATAATTGTGAAGGTTCAGGCAGTACAATATATCTATCTCTAACCACTTAATAGAGATTAGAAACCTAAAATAGAGCCTCTGTTGGTATTTGCACACAGAATGTTTGTCTTGTTTTGTAACCAGTTAGCAAAAATCTATCTATTAAACTTGTAAAGACCGTCTAGAAAGTGTTTGATAGATAAACTAAACAAAGGAATAAATACATCAAATGTGAGTGTGTAATTAAATTAATAAAATAACAAATGTGCAGTCATTTTTACAACAACCCACGGCCTACTGGAAAAAAAACACTAGCAAGTCTGAAACATAAACACTAAAACATAGGGCTATACTTATAATGAGAGCTACCCATGACATGATGTTTTATCCTGGGAAACCACATTGGCATTAAAAAAAATCCTCCTCTACAACAGTTTGGTATTTCTATGGAATAAACTGGAATGATCCAGTCAGGATTTAGCACTTATTCTTATCAAGAGGGATTTATTTCATAAACATATGGCCTCAAGCCACTAAGAGGTTAAAAAGAGTAAATGGATGGGAACAGTATAAATACAATACAATAATACATTGAGAATATAGCTAATATTTTGGCTGATGATGCCAATACCATGTATTTTGTTTCTGAATAGGTGGGATTAATAATTCAGAGGTTGGATATTTTGAAGCTGTGATAAACACGTGTGTTGATAGGATTTGGAGATCAACCTTACATCTGTTCTATGAAATATGATTCACCTCTGGTAACAAAAAAAGAAAATGTAAAAGTTTCTACTTATGTATTGCAGCCATCCATCTAATTATCCACACAGGACAACAACAAAGATGCTACTTTATCTGGCTATTTTTATGACATATGTTTTGTTTGGGGAACAATACTGTTAATTGCTTCCTAAAAGTATGGGTGATAAGTCTCTCAAAGCACCTGCAATCATTCATTTTAACATCAATTCCTTAGGTAATAAAGATAAAGTCATAAATTGCAAATCTGATAATGAGCAACTGCTATGAGAATGTGATCAGTGGCTAAAGCATAGTTGAAGTTGGTGGACAGAGTGTCACAATACCCAGAGAGTTCAAAGCCTGTGGCAGATGTTCCCTGTGAAGCTTTTGCAGGATTACAGAGAATATATAATCAGAGCTAATTTCAATCAATTTCATATTCATGCCATATATATAATGTATAGTAACAACTACTTACAGGGGAGTTACTTTATGCATTATATGTAAGTGTGTTTGTGTATGTATATATATGTATATGTATATGTGAAGGATTATTTTGGCTCCAGCGTGCAGAAAGGCTATTTGTATTCAAAATCATATTCAGCTGAGTTTTTTATATGTTAACGGCAGGTCAGAATGTCAGTAAGTAAAACTATAATGTTTTTCTTCAGCCCCTTCAGACAGAAAACACTGTGTCTAAAACTGCTGAAACTAAGAATTGAAAGTATGCAGATACACGTTTCCCCATTTTGGACCCAATGTAATTTACTGTTGCACTATTGTATTAGACTATAATAGATTGCGCAGATGCAGCTGATAAACAGGCAATTCGGTGTAAAGGTCATAAATGTTGCCTAATTCATGTGTAAATGAGGATGAGAGATGGAGAGAGATGAAAGAAGGATGACAGGATGACAAAATATAAGAATGACAAATGCGCAGTCTCACCCTCTGTGTGTATTGCGGACACGTAGCTCCAGCTGTATCTCTTCACAATATCCACCATGGCTCTGGCCTGTTGCATATCTGATGGCACTACCCTCATGAAATATTTATACAGACTCTGTTGGATTAAATTTACATGTTCACAAGTCTGGCAGTATACTTGGTATAATCAGAGGGTGTCAGAGATACAAGTACAGTTAATTTGTAAAGACTACACTGCAATACAATAAAACTTAAGTAAAAAGTAAAGTTGCTTTTCATCAAACTCAAAACCAGCAATTCTGTAATTCAATGAGAAGGTTTGAAGTTTGTTCAAATATGATGAAACATGATTGTTTTTGTTAATTTTTCTTACCTTGTCACTAAGATCCATGCTAGTGGCTGAATAAGCTATCTGTGGGATGTTAAAGAGCTGGAGGAGATTTTGCACTTGGATGGCCACAGAGCTGGATCCCGGTCCAATCAGTCCCACAATGGGCTTCTTCCCCTGCACCAGCAAGCTCCCTGCCTCTGCAGTACACCTGCCCTGGCTCTCCTCCTCTTCGTTGGAGACCAGTGTGTCCCGAATGAACTCGATACTCTGCTCCAGCGCCACTGCAGAATGCCAGCATGAGTCCCTGGTGTAGAAAGATTGAGTTCACACTTGTTTAGGCAAGCAGCATGGGGATAAAGAGAGGATAACTTGGAGTAGCCAATTGGATGCTTCTTAGGTACATAGTCTGCGCTGAATGCTTTTTGAAAGAACCACTTGACAAACATACTTTTTGGAGCAGTGAGAAGTCTGAAATCCAAAGTCCAGCCAAAGCTAAAGTGGGGTTTCAGCCATCTGAGTTAGTGAAATCAAGCTGGTATCTTCCAAAATCTTTTCAGTACAAATGTGCCATTTTTCTTTCCCTATGGACAATGTTTCCTTGCTGAGCTGCGGCAGAGAGATGCTTCCTATTAGTCACATGTAGGTTTGTGCTTGGGCACAACATCAGCAACATGTGCCACATATTAGCTTCAGCTAAATTTGAGAAGGATTTTTGTATGAAACAAAGACTGTGGATTTTGTCTCTCGTTTATTACAGTGTGGTTTCACTTGGAAGAGATCGCTTCACAGCCCTTCTGGATAGGAGGAATGATTGTGACGATCAACTCTTTCTACATATATATGGGATTTGACAGCTGTAGTAGCTTCCACTTGAAAAAGTCTGAAACTGGCCTTGATTTTTAATGTAATGTCTCAAACCACCCTTTGTCAGCAGGTTGTATTGTTAGCGCAACCTGTGGGTCATACAATTAAACGTGAAATTTTGGTTTACTGCAGGTTACTGTGGATGCTTTCCTCTGTCTGGTTTACTCCATCACCTTCTCTTATGGCCTAATTCCTCCAACCACAGGCTGTAGCTAGCCATCCTAAGCTACCTATAGTTGTTTGTTTATAGTACAGTTTGCCTGCTCCTTCAAGGGTTATACTGTACAACATGATACATGAAAATCCTTGACCCAAATTAAGAAATATTAACTTTAGTTAAATTTTCCTTTGTTTACTTTATAATTGTTTGATTCTTTTAAAAATGATTCTACTTTTTAGAGACCCATATAACCCTTCGCCCTTCTTTAATATTCGGAAATTGAATGAAAGTACACTGCAGGTAATGACTGACATCGCCTCAGTGCATTGGTTTTAACGTTGCATGTTGCAAAAAGCGCAATACAAAATCCATGTTAATTTATGGTGATTATCCAGTAACTAACTACTTAGGATGATTCCTAACATCTCTGCTAAATGTAGGCAGCTGTTCTGGTGGTTTGTGTATCTGCTAACTGATATTTAGATTTGAAAGGAACAGTTTCATGCCAAACCTCTGGTTTCTTCAAGAAGATTGCTATCTGACACGTGCTATTCTGTGTAACAAATACTTTGCTGTATTTCTGGTCTCTTGGTCTCTCTCAGACAAACATGGTTGGTTGCAAGGTCACAAAAAATTGATTGCTATATAAGAACAAAATGATAATTGTTATGATTAGTTTCTGACCTTATCTCGCAACCCAGGGTGATATTCGGGAGGATGGTGGGGTCTGCATTAATTCGATCCAGAGTGTGCATCATGGCCTCTACTCTCTGGATCCCGTACTGCTCGCGCACAGCACCACACTTTCGCTCATGGACCTGAGTAAAGTGTAATGCAGCTGAATTACTAACATTCATCACATATAGGGCAAATTAGCCCACACACATAAACACATACAAGCATGTACCTTGTCTGCAGGTGGTTGGTGGTGGACAGAAAACAGAGCTCCTATGATGATGTCACCAGGGATATGTGCCAACACCCTTCGCTCGTTGTTCTGGGCGCTGACCCCAACTTGGTGTTTCAGGCCCAGCCAGCTCAGATCAGCTCCCAGTACCACACATACTGCCAACAGCCTCACATATGACCCTAATCTATTTCCCATCCCTGTGTTCCTCCTCACACCTCCTGCCATCCCCTGTCCTCTTAGAGCTGAGGTTCAGATGAATGTGTTGTCTTTGACGTGGTGCTTGTAGTGCCGGGGGTAAGGGTTAGATTCCTGAAGAAAAGGATAGGGATAGGAAGTAAATGAGCTCAGTGTGTAAGCAACTGTACTCGTTTGTTTAACAGACAATACACTAAGACGGTCTCAGTCAAACTGGTAGAGTATTTTGGGTAAAGAGATATAATATTTTGAATAATGTGGAAAAAAAGATTAGATTTAGCTCTTTATTCACAAATCACAGTTTATTTAAACTTTATCTTTTTACTGCCCTCCCTAAAATAACATCATGTTGCTGTCCATGGTGCTTAAATGATGTTGTATCATGTAACTTAGGTAAAACAAGCACTGGTTGTCTAAAGAAGTGTCAACAACATATGTAAAACTCAATTATCTTTTCTGTATCTAATAATGAATTCATTACTGTGCACCCCGCATACCCAAAGTAAAAGACAACTTCAGCCTACCTCTTTTCTGCCAGCAGCCTTGCAGATGCCATTCCTTTTGAGACCGTTTCCATCACAGAAGAGCAATAACAAGAAAAGCGCTGCTGGTTTCTGCTCAAGCTCAGTCTGACGCCTGGCTACAGCAAACTGCAAATAGCAGCAGATAATATAGTCCGTTATTGGAACATGTTTGACTTACTGACGCACACGGTGGCCCCCCTCCTTCTCCACCTCCTCCTCCTCCTACTCCAAAAACAGTGGAAGGCAATGGAGCAGCAACAGTGACTAAATTGGTACTGTGGAAACTGTGGAAAGCTACGGGAGGCGAGCCACACAGACGCACACTTAACATGATAAAAGAAGTAAGAAAACAAATAAGTAAACAAATAAGGGACATGAAGGAATAATAACAGCGTCAGCAGTGGTGTTTTGGAGCGTGGTGGCTTGTAGGGGTTTGGCTAACAATCAATTAATAGACTAATGCCGCTTTCTTTTCTTTCTCTCTTGAACTTATGGTTACTGATCTCAACTCCTCCTCTCAATTAACCATTAATCAGACATCCTAGAAAGGTATAGCTACTGACACATCCAGTTTCAAAGGTTATGAGATTTAAAACGTTAATATAACAGCAAACAACTATCTGTTATGTAAAGATATAGTCAAGTAGAGCAGAGAATTACATCACCCGCCATCCTTTTGGCTGTGTTGTCATGGCAGCACAACCCAGCAGCCCTGTGCTTTGTTTACAAAGCCGGTCTGGTCGTGTTTGCATGTTAGGGTTAGTGCATGTTAATATGTGCAACTGAGGAGAGCGACTGAATCTGATGTTTTTCTCATCTGTGTCGGAGAATTAAGGATTTATTTCGACCAAACCAGAGTGGGGGATTGTTGGAACAGTGGAAAGACTAACAAAAGAAAATGAATATGAGGAAAAGTAATGCAGTGGTTATGCATTAGGTAATGTTTTTGTCGATAAAGTCTGGTGGCTAGCAATAGCACTATTATGGTTGTTTCAGGTTAACCAGGCGGTGTATCCGTAGGGATCCTGTCCATCATTTTTTCAGATACTTAGAATAAGTGCAAAAAAGCAAAACAAGCACTTTTAGTGGACGCACTTTTATAGTTGTAGTGTAGCTACATTGATGTCATTGCAGCCTTTTCCGCAAATATTTTCTTAATATTATCTAAGTTGGTGAATTAATATTAATATTATTTCAACCAAACCAGCGTTGGTGATTATTGGAAATACGGTCAAAAGACTTAACAAAGACGGTTTTGGTGAGTTTCATTTTGTTTCTGTCCAGTTTGACGTTTTCTTTTACGATTATCTGCTAAGTAAAATTACTGGTTTTGTCAATGGAGTCTGTTCGGCCGTATCACCCATTGTTTAGGTCCGATGGTGCTCTAGTGCGACATCTAGTGGCAAGTTAATTTCGTGTCTATAACCTTTCAACTACCCACCCATGATTATTTTTTTAAAACGAAATTGTTCTCTCTAAAAAGTAGGACAGTTACTTTGAAAGTAACATTCAGTTTCAATATGTCTATTAAACAGAGTCCCACACTGTCATTCAAATATGATAATGAGAGTGACCATACAATGGTTTTGGTTTGGTATGAATGGTTTTGTTTTGCGGCTGACGCTCTTGTCCTTGAGGTTGATCTGCCTCCATTCATAGTTTGAAATCTGAAAAAAGAGAAGACTTTCTATCTATTGGGCGTTGGTGTTTCATGGCTTTTCATTAAAATTGTTATTACACTCTATATCCAAAGAGACGTGGTTAAGGTTCTGGATGGGAAATGATAGTGTCCAGGAAATTATCCTTGAATGCACTTCCACTCCCAACTCTCTCCCTCTCTTGTCTGAGGTCAGAGTGACTCCAAACATAATTAAAGGTATGTTTTGTATAATACAAAGTGCATCTCTCACCTACTTCAATTAGTTTCTTCCCAGATTGGCATGAGACCCAATTTCTGATTAAAAGCTATTTAAATGTTAAGTGTTACAAAGCCAGAAACTCTGTTCACAGGTAAGAATAGTGATCTTACAAAGTCATGAATAGGTGAGACACAAATTAGTGTCACATTTTCGCTTCTGTAAAGGTAAACTATCATGTCAATTTGACCCCAGATATAGCTTAATGTGATATTGTATTGTTGGGGCTCCATCTGCAGTGGAAAGAGACAACCGAATCTGAACATAACAAAGCTTGACACCATTGAGTTGACACTATTGAGTTTAGTACATGTATGACCAGGTTAGGAAATGCAGTAGGTAGTTGATCAAGTAGAACATCCTGTTTTAACTTAGAGACGCTGCTTACCCCTATAGGAACAAGAGCAAACATGTTGATCTGTGCAATTAGGGCACAGTTAATCTATCTATGACAGAGGGGGCAATGAGACACTTGGAAGTCACAGTAGCTCATTTACATTTCAGTAGTTCAGTAGGTGAATCCAGTGTAAGATGTAGGGATCATCAGGGCTTTCAGCAGGCTACCGAATGAATAACATAATTTCAAGTCACAGTTAGTTAGCATGGTGAGAATGTGCAATGTGAATGTTTTGTTGGGTAAGATGTGTGACGCATAGCCAACAACAAAAATCTTTTCAGAGGATATTCAGAAAATCTAATCAAATGGAGGTCAAATGTGTAATTGAAGATGTTTCTACATGGGCATTCATTACTAGGAGCCAAATGAATGAATGTCTGCCTGCAGAATTGTGGTTAGTTTGTTGCCTGGGGAGACCGAGAGAAAGAGGAGGTGGCCCTGGTGGACTGTCATTTACACAGTATTGCAAGTAGTGGCATAGTGCCCTCTGGTGGGGACTCATTTCTCGAGTGTCTCACATCAGTAAAGGGAACTGTGTGTTTTGAAAAATTAAACTCAATGGAGAGAAATGTGAGTTAGCAATTGCAAAAAAAAAACTTTTGTGTTCTTGCATGCCTTATGACCAGCATGTGCAAACATATTCATCATCATTAGACCAAAGGTTAAAGGGTGCATCCTAAAGTGTGGAGAACCATGTGAGATGGCAGTACTGAGGAAGCTCAAAAGACATTAATGTTGTCTTCTAGGAAAGCATTGTACAAAAGCAAAGACCAAATATTCTTGCCTTAGGAAATGTCTTTATCTCATCAGCTTCTCCTCTGTAAATCTTTGAAGTCCCCTCAGTAGTTTACACTGTGATGACATTGTGGGTTCATGTCCACACAGTGATTTGACTGAAAGAATCTTTGGTAATTTATTATTATAACTTTATTAAACTCCAAAAGGTTTTGAGCAATGAAGATACCCTTTTACATATACCTAAGCATTTATACATTTAAAATGTCTTTAAAATCCGACTGGTGCTTATTTTTTAACTTTTACAAAGAAATGGAAATATGCATTGTTTTGGACAGTTTATACCCTTCTTCAGAAATAACAGCAAATTGTATCATGAATTGCATTAAATCATGAGTTGAGTGTATTGTTACATCCCTATTCAAACAATGTAAATGTGATGCTACCTGTCAGTGATTTTTTTTTATGGGCATATAAAGTAAGTGACATATTGTTACTGTTAGCAGGCAAATGTCAGTGTGTGGGAGTTGTGTCTGAGATGTGTGAGATATGGTTGCATTAGTGCATTTTGATTGTGACTGAGTGTTGTGCCGAGCTGCATGTCAGTAAAAAGAACTGTGTGAAGGGTTTTGCAAAAAGTGATTTAATATAGAGGAATGTGAGCTAGCAATTGTAAAAAAAAAAAGGTCTAGTGTTCCTGCTACCATATGAACATCATGTGCAAACATCATCATCATTAGACTAAAGGTTAAAGGTCAGGGCGTACAGTGGTTGCGTCCTCAGGTGCCTGAGACAGCAGTACTGAGAAAGCTCAAAAGACATTAAAGTTGTCTTGTAGGAAAGCATTGTACAAATGCAAATACTAAATATCCTTCCCCTAGGGAATGGCTTTATCTCATCAGCTTCTCCTTAGTAAATCGTTTTCTTTCTTTGCAGTTTTTCCCAGTATTTCCAGTATTTTAAGGGTAATCATCGCATAAAACCAGGGATAACAGTACTTTATTGTAGAATTGTGTGTGTGTGTGTGTGTGTGTTTGGAGAGAGAGATCACAAATTAGGTGTCTGTTTTACACTGATGAGCCAGACAAAGAAGTAGACAGGATCACTGTAACTACAAAATAGTAACCGTATGGCGCCCTCTGGTGGGGACTTATTTCTGTAATTAAAGTTTTTTACAATTGGTAACTCACATTACTGAGTTTACTTTTCCAAAACTCTTCACAGTAAACTGGATCACTTTTAATTGATTTTACACAAAATACATTCAATGACCTCATCTTTCAAAATTCATGAACTGTTTTTCTCACTCAAATTCAACCACCAGAATCTGTGCATTTACACTCCATTTAGCATTTTGTTAAACTTATGTTTCCCTTATCACATCCCAGGATGGTGTCACTTTACCTTCCACCTTACTCCCAAATCCTTAACCCCAAAGAGGAATTATTTTTCTCATGGAGGTGGAAGGTTTATGATCAGATGTTGTACTTGGAAGCAATGAATGCTGTCTGGACATATCTGCAGACAACTGCCAGGGATGGTTCAGGCAGAAACATACTTTTCCAGGTGTATTGAGAGAGGAGGACATAAGGTGTGATGTGGATGAGAACTTGTGGCCAAATGAAGGGTTGAGTACCACTGTTATGTTTCTATACTGTAAATATCCAAAGTAAGCAAGTAGGCCTATGTAGGCATATAGTTAATAAGTATAGTTCTGTATTGCATTACAGAATTACTTTTTTAAAAATATTTTGTGCAGTAAACTTATGCATACTGTAAATGTAAATGTATCGTAGTATCAAGGCTCAAAGACTTCAGTTTAACTTTTACAAGGAAATGGAAATATGCATTGTTTTGAACCGTTTGTAACCTACCTCAGAAATAAATTTTAAAAAAATATATAATTTGAATTGAAATATATTTTGTAGAATTTTGTCTGGTAAATAACGGAATCTTTTTCAGTCATAATTTGGTATTAATCTCATTTTGTTAAAAAAATATATCATAAGAACATTGTATCATGAATTGTATTAAATCATGAGTTGAGTGTATTGTTACATCCCTATTCAAACAATGTAAATGTGATGCTACCTGTCAGTGATTTTGTTTTATAGGCATATAAAGTAAGTGACATATT